CAAGTGCCATAGTTTGCTCCTGCAAGGAATGATTTCCTTCTGAAGCTGTCGTACTTGAGTACCTTAGTTGTCAGGTTTGTGCCTTGAAGGCAGTGATCTACTCCTGAAGTCTTGTAGGGCCCTGGCGCAAAGGCATGGTGAGAGCCTTAGCAGTGTCCATAATCAGTCCAAGGGCTCAAACATAAGTCTCAGCAGAGACCTGGGTGGTCTAAGCAAGCTGTCAGGGCCCATAATGTGGGCTGTTGGACCTAGTTCATGGGCTCAGGAGTAGTCAGGGTTGTGCTCATGTTAGGAGTAAATCTGGAGTCAGAATCACAAGTCATGTGAAAGGGCCAAAACATAGAAAAGCTATAATATAGTAGGTTTCTCTGCCAGTGTTCCTGCCTTCTCATCACTACTTCTCTTTACTAAAAATGCTGACCATGAGACTAATTGTAATAGTTTTTGTGAGGTGAACACTTACTCACTGTGAGACTGACATTAACAGTCATGTGAAAGAGCCAAAACAGAGACTGGGCAGAAGTCATACCAAAAGTCAAGCCACAATCAGCAACTGTGGGATCAGGGACTTGTCTCAGAAGTCTGAGAAGCATCAGGCCTAGTAACTAGTTGCTCAGATAGGGAATGGAATAGGAACAGGAAGCCTTCTACATGGTGGTGTCCAATTAGCCATCTGCTGTTACTCACTGACTCAGCAGGTCAGATGATTATAGCTTCTTTCTAGCAGTTCTCTCTTTCAGCCTTTGCAGCTCAACGGCACAGAGAATATGGCTTCTGCCTGGCAGCTCTAGTGGCCTGGGTTTGACACTTGTGGCACTTGACAAACAGCCAGAAGAAACAATCACATTTTATTTCTTGAGGACCTCAAAAATGCTTCTGTCAGCATCACTAATAGTGAAGAATATCTGGAGCAATACTCTCCAAGTGGCAGTATCCACTGTGGTGTGTCACAAGCCATGATAGAAGGGACAGTTTTGAGATGAAGCGGCTGAGTAATTGAAAAACCATTTCATTTCAGACAGAGTACTTTACTGACAGATACCTAAGAAGAGGCAGAATAACTCCTTCATTTGTTGGGAGAGACACGCTATTACCAGGGCCAAAACAGAGAAAAGCTATAATACAGTAGGTTTCTCTGCCAGTGTTCCTGCCTTCTCATCCCTACATCTCTTTACTAAAGATGCTGACCATGAGGCTAATTGTAATAGTTTTGTGAGGTGAACACTTACTCACTGTGAGATGGAGATTAACAGATAATTTCATAACTACCTTTATCACCAAATGAGCAATTTAGTCTTTTAAACACACCTTCAATTAATTAATTAATTAATTAATGTTTTTACAGTGAATTGAAGATGGCGAATGTTACAATAAACAAGTACTGAGTATGTAAATTTTGTAAATTTTTGTAAACAAGTACTGAATATGTAAATTCACTATGTCAGTTTTGTACAATATATTATTATATTGGAAAATAAGGGTTTGTTGAGATTGACATTTTGCAGGGGGAAGAGCATTTTGGCATACTTTTCTAACAGGAAAACTGAAACTAAACTTTCTCCTCACACCTGGGAGAAGAGGTTCTAAGACTTTAGAGATAAAAGGAAAATTAAGAAGAAAGATTTTTTTAATAGTACAGACATTTATAACAGGAAAGTTTTATATCCTTTTTCTTCTGTTATTTTCTCTGTCTTCTAAAAAGTACTTTTCTTATCAGAAGCATAAGAAATCAGTTTTATGTAAATCAATTCCAATAATTTTTTAAATGAAACTTCAAATGAATCATGCTTCAAATCATGCTTGTCTAGCAACTGGCTAGATTAGTCTACATCTTTGATAGTGGAAAGCATTCACAACTCATGCAACTCACGCATTTCTAGACTACTAATAAACGCTACATGCAATGTCTAGACTGCTAATACTGAATGTGGTCTGCCTTATTGCCATAAATTCTGGTTTAACTTGTGTTCACTCAGAAAATTATTTTCTCAAACATGTAATTTTGTACAACTAATAAACCAAGAGATGGTTTAAAATAAAAGACCACCAGTACACTTGTTTCTTTTTTAAAAACAAGTCAAGTTTATTTTTAAGTAGCCAAGAAAATTGCTTTAAAAAGGCGATTAAAGTGTAATTTTGAAGGCCTATCCTAAATTTCAACTTTGTCAATCAGCACATTAGATGTAAATAGTTTCTGATAATGATTGACTTTAATTGAACCTTTTCAGGAGATAGTAATTGTTTTTAATTAAAAATGCCATTTTTTTCTGTGTAGCTGAAAGCTTATTTGCATTCATTTCAGCTTTGAGCATAGACATAACGACCTATATCTTTACTAACATTGTATTTTTCTCCTCTTTCCATCTCTTGAAATATTTCAGGAATTTGTCAAACAGGTTAGCTTTAAATATTTCCTAATTAATCCTTGCAGTTTTGGCAGTTTTAACGGATATCAAGAATGGTTTGTTGATTTCGAGCTTATCAGTTTAGAAACACATATAAAAATAAAATTGTTACATGTGTAATACCTAGGGATGTAAAAGGCTAACCGTTGAACCACTTACCTGGTGAGCATTAGGCTTACCAGAACACTTATTGGGTAACCCGTTTCACGGCCAACTGCAGCATGCTGAAGCAGCCCTGACTGAGTCCAACCTGTTATGAGGGTACAGCAGGCAGGGCCATGCCTGCATCTGCTGGCATGATCATGCCTGAATGGGGGTGGCAGGTGGGGCTCCAGCTTCTATAACTTGGTGTGTGGTGGCCCAGCAGTGTCCCAGCTGAGGCTGCACAGAACTGGCCCAGAGCGTCTCTAGCCCCAGCCACAAAGGAATGGTCCAGATGGACTCTGGCCCCAGCCATGCAAGAGCAGCATAGAGTGACTCTGGGCCCACCTGTACAGGGTTCCATAGAGAATGGAGCCAGGCTATTCTCAGTGGTGGCACATGACAGAGCAAGAATTAGTGGTCTCAAGTTACAGTGGGGGAGGTCTAGGTTGGATTTTAAAAAAAAACTATTTCATTGGGAGAGTGGTGAAGCACTGGAATGGGTTACCTAGGGAGTTGTTGGAATCACCTTAGAAAGAATTGCTTGTCAAAGCCCGGGCTGAATGATTTAGTTGGGTTTGGCCCTGCTTTGAGCAGAGAGTTGGACTAGATGACTTCCTGAGATCTCTTACAGGCCTAATCTTCCATGATTCTATTCTATGATTTGTGCTTTTTTTGAATGATTAAAATGTTTTGCAGTTTCCAGATTATGTTGATTAAAATAGTAGTTCAAATAAAAGGCAATTTAGAACGTTTAGAAGACTTGTCAAATTAATCCTATGTAAGGGTCCTGAAAGTTTTGATGACATAAATAAACTTCATACAAGTAGTCCAATTATGAGTCACTCATTAAAGTCAGGTTTGCAAGACTGTAATATGGTATATATGTGGAACATTGGCTTATATTTCATAATATTTTGAACATTTTTGTACTGTAGTCTTTATAATAAAAGCCTCTGAAACATTAGAATGTAAAATGAAAAAAAAATGTAAATTGGTTTGTTTAAAGAATAACTTGTTAACCATTTTATGAATAGCAAATACATTGCAAAAATTTGACAGATTAATCATTTATGTAGATCCTTCAATACTAGCTGACTCCTTGTGGGAAACTTTGTAAACATTCTGTTTAGGAATAATTCTGTTTATATGTCACTGTTTTCCATATTCCAATCTCCTTTCTCATTAAAGGCCAAGCTGTTGATCTCCTTATCCATATTACAAGTAATTCTATTGACGTCAATGGGGATACTCATGAGAGTAACTGTTCATCGATATGAGTAAGGGATTCACAATCTGGCCCTAAATAAGAGAATTTGCATGAAAACAGGATCTGTATTCCTTAAAATTTCATCTAGTCTTCCTACTTATTATTCATCTGAAGTTCTAATAAAATCTTTGTGATATTAGTTAATCGTTATGGAGGTGAACATGATGTCATAAATGCAAAATTATTGCTGCATTGTCACAGTTTGCTAGCTAGTCACATGTAATTTGTTAGGCAGAGCTGGACCATGCATGTATTGATGATAGACATTTAAGAAAAACTCAGCTACTGCAGAAAGGAGGCATTCTTTCCTTGGATGATTTAATCCATTTGCCAGCAAAGTCTTACAGTTGATGATGAGGTACCATCTTTAAGATGAAGCATAAAGCTAAAGCTCTGTGGTCCTTAAACAATCCAGTGGCAATTCTCATTAAAGTAGGGATGTTAACCCTGGTGACCTAGCCAAATTCCAACTGAGAGATAATGCACTTATCTTTTTAAAATCCCCCTTTTGCTTTTAATTGAGCGTTAACTGAATAGCTGAAAATAACTGAAAAGATATTTTTCAGCTCTCCTCAAAAACACTGTTGCTAGTGAAGTGTGACTTTTTTTCAGAGGTGGGGGTTTTAGTGATACTTGTTTATTAGTGTATAAAACACTTTAGTATCTTACACATTAAATTATGATTAAATATTATGCAAAAATATATAAACTGCAGGTAGGAAATTAAATCAAAGAAACAGATCATCCCTAAGCAACCAAGGATGTTTTTTTTTTCATGTGTGTGTTCCTAAGAGTGATCAATGAAATATAATAATTAAATCTAAATTTTATTAAATATGAACAAGGTTGTTAGAAATGATTTTTTCCTTAAATATTTTCAGCGAGGCTCTTTAAATTACTTTAATTGCAATCTGAAATGTCTTTGTAGGTGCTAATTAATTTAAACTAGAGTCTTTCATACAGTAGTAGAGTTTATTTTATCTCTGTTAATTACCATCAAGCATGTTCACAGGAGAAAACAGGACATAAAGCTGGTGTTGTAAAATTCTGATGAAAGAAATTTTCTTTCTTCATCTCCAACAGATACTGTCCTGTTTAGATGGTCTTCCTTCTACAATGAGAGAAATAGGGATAACGTTTGGAAAATTTTTTGAGGCTAGTGACAAAATATGTTTGTCTTTCAGATCCCCAGCTCAAGGGTATAGTGACCAGGTTATATTGCAGGCAAGGCTACTACTTGCAAATGCACCCCGATGGAACTCTCGATGGAACCAAGGATGACAGCAGTAATTCTAGTAAGTGACTGCTCTAGGAGAACGTATTAATCTCAAACAGAGATTGCAGATGTAATCATTCAATTATATACATCCAGACACATATTTTAATGGTTTTTGAGGAATTTTGATATATTTTGACAAAAAAGATTCTGTCAACTTAAAATATATTAAACACTAGCATGCCTTTTAAAGAATCCTGAGTGCTCTTGCCTATGTGAAAAAGTATCCAGGAAAGAAGCAACTATGCATTTTGTTAGTGTCTGCCATGAAGTTTCTGATTATCAAAAGTGCTCAATGTTGGTCTAATTCTACTCCCATTGAAGACAATGTTAAAATTCCAGTTGAAATCAGAGATAGGAAAGTTAGGCCAATAGGAAGCACTTCTGAAAATCTACTGTAAAACATTTATCAGCAGTTTTTCCTTTATCCAAATAGAAAAGGGAACCAAAGAAAATATAATTGAAATTCTGACAAACAAGGCGGTGTAATTAAGCATATGTTTAACTTGAAGAATGTTATTAGTCCCAATGAAAAGCATATGGTAAAACATCTTGTTGAATTGGACTAAAGAGACTTCTACAGTCCCTATCCCAACAAGAGTCCCAATGACTTCAAAAACATTTCTTCAAGTGTGGGGACTACAAACCTGAAAACAATTAAAAAAGTCAACCAAACAAAAATGGTACAACTTTTAAAACCTTTTATGGATCATAGATACTGTTATTTCTTTCATTATAATATGGCTGAATGTTTTGATTCAGATAATGAATATATATTTCACAATTTAAGTGGCAAGTGATAATTAAGTGGTCTTGCCCTCACTCTCAAATGGTTCAATCTGAATAATTTTCATAAAGCACAGCAGACATCTGAGGTTTATTTTTAGGCATACTTTTTTGTGTATAAGACATGTATTTACTCATTACTCATACATTAATATATGCTTGATTGGGATTGGGCTGCAGAAATTGAGGGAAATGTGGGTTCTATTTTTGTTTAGTCATATCTTCAGTTATTGAGTCTACATGTGTCCTCAATGTATTTCATATGCAAATGTTGTTACTGTTTTATTGACTGTTATATCTTTCAGATTGTAGCAAACTAATTAATGTGTATGTCACTGTTCTCTTTCTTTATCTGTGTGCCTTTCTCACCTTCCTAATTTTCATAATCATGTTTCTCTTTTCACCCGCATCCATTTCTCATGCCTCTTCTCTATTAACTGAATACTGCAAGCAATACAGAAACAAGATTCCCATTGCCTTAAATAGGAATGTATTTTGCTCGCATTAAGTCTGCAGGATGTGGCTTTGTGTTTCTTTTCCTCTGCCATCATCTGGGGAGTTGTCTAGTGTCAGTAGTACATGGGTGTGCTTTTTATTATTATAATACATCTCAATAGATACATCTTTTTTGGAGACATGATTTTGGCTTTTAAAATCTTTGAAAATCTCGGCCACTACACCTTACTTTCTTCTCTCCACTGCCATCTTTTTAAAATCTCAAATCTTTATTTCTCTTAGGGTATGTCTAGACTACATGCCTCTGTCGCCAGAGGAATGTAAATTAGATTACCCGACATAGTCAATGAAGCCGGGATTTAAATATCCCCGGCTTCATCAAAATAAAAATGGCTGCCGTGCTGTGCCAGCTCAGATGATCATCGGCACAGCGCAGCAGTCAACATGTGGATTGGTCAACAGGGAATGCCTTTGTCGACCGCTCCTGTAAATCTCGTTCCACGAGGCATAAGGGAGCGGTTGACAAAGGCGTTCCCTGTCGACCAATCTGCATCTTGGCTGCCGCGCTGTGCTGATGATCAGCTGAGCCAGCACAGCATGGTGGCCATTTTTATATTAATGAAGCCGGGGATATTTAAATCCCGGCTTCATTGACTATGTCGGGTAATCTAATTTACATTCCTCTGGCGACAGAGGCATGTAGTCTAGACATACCCTTAGTGTTTTTTCTTCCCTTTCTCTATGTCTCTGCCTGTCAATTTCACATTCTCTCGTAGTTCCAAAATTGCAGAATAATCATTCTTGTCCCAAAACAGACTGTGCAAAATAAAGGTATTTCATATTCAAGATAAATAATGGTGGGCCATGTTATATTTTATATTTGCATGAGTTAGAGATTTGACTGAGTTTTCTCAGAAATTTAACATTATTTGCTGTTGAAAAAAATGGGCCCAATTTCCCATTCACCACTGTTTTAATCCTGTTGCCACTTTGAAAACAGGATTTATTTAAACAATGGATTTATACCATTGTAAAAAGTGAGCCACACAGTGGTGAACCATGTCCAATGTCTGCATCAGTGATAAATGCAATACAATACTAAAAATGTTACCAGTCCAATGCATGTCTTGCCATCTTAAAATTTTAATATAAATAATATAACAATGCCAATGCTATCTTGGAAATAAGAAGGATGAGTGTCACCACTTGTGCACTTCCAGGAATATATGAACAGTTATGTTTCGGTCTCCTTACTGCTGCCAGCCCTTCATTTTCTTTTTTCCTGTGCTTTCCTTTTATTCCCTAGTCTTTGCAGTACATTTTGTTTCCTTTCAGTTTCCTATACTGTCATTCTGTTTTTACTATTCCCTTTTCCCTTTTTTTAACACTAATTTTTCTTGTGGACGATTAGATTTTACTCCTTTGTTTTGCTTTTATTTTGCAATCTCCTTATTTTGATAATTCAAACCCCAGTCTTACTTGTGGATGTGCTTTGGGGTGGCCCAAAGGATGAGAGTGGAAGAAATATTCGGCATTGAACCTCATTCCCATCCTTATCTCATCTTGGCTTGGAGTGGAGATGAGAATTATTCTGACTATTGAGTTTGTACCTTACCTATATGATTAACAGCTTCCCTGAAATTGTGAAGGATATAGGGATATATTGATAATTAGGTCAGAAGAGGGAGAATAGAGTTTCCTGTCCTTTTTGCGAATAGCTTTGGATTGAAGTTGATGAAAACATTGCTGGCTTAATGTTCCTGGGTGATATGGACAATTGTGCCTCTTCCATGCTTTATCAACATGCTCTGAACTACAGCTGATTGGCACTAAATGACAGGAAATAATTTTCCCCAACCCATAGTTTGGCTCAGCAGTTGACTTCCCTTGAGCATCGATGGGAATGACAAGTGAGGGAAGGATGAAAAAGGAGTGCTTTGAGTCCCTGGCAGAGAAGCATTCTGAGAGGTTGTGTCACACAGCCTTTTCTTCTGCTTATTTATTATTTATATAACATCCAAACTTGTACCAGGCATCTAGAGAATAAATACAAAAATATGATCTCTACTTCCTCACCATATCTAATTTTAGATATGTCTGAAGGCATAGGAATAACAAATGATAGAAGATGCCATAGGGAGGTAGGACAAGGGTAACTTCAAGGTCTGGTGGTTTCTTAGTTTTGGTAAATGCATGTCTAGGGCTTCCATTACAATCCAACCAAAGATTGTCTTTTAAAATAAAGCTTCTAGGTATTTATAATGTGTTGGATTTTCAAAATACTGCCTGTTAGTCTAATGCTTCTTCCGTTGGAGTCATTGGGAATTTTACCAGTGATTTCAATGCAGGGGAGTTAGACTAGTGCTGAGTGCTTTTGAAATCCCATCCTGCAACTTCACAGGAGCAATAATGGGACCATAGCTTATCTTAAATCAGAAGGAAGGGCTGATTGGGGAGTGGAAGTAAGAAAAAAAGGATCACTTTTGATAAATATTTGCATGTCACTTAATGAACTTCTGGAAGTGCTTAATATCATGATGACAGACATACAAGATGAGCCTGAATTGGACAGAGCTGTTTTCTGTTGGGGTCTTCATTTCTCCTAGATTATGTTAACATTGGCTGAAGAGGCATGGACTAGTCCATCTGATGAATTAGCTTTCATATCTTGCTTCATAAAATTGGGGCCACTTGTTGAAACCATAGCTCATGCATTGAGACCTTTATTTGCAGACTTTTCACTGGGAGTGCCAAATAAGTTTTATTCCAATGCTTCTTTTTTCTTCAGTTTTCCTTCTATCTTAACTTGACCTTCTCTTCTCCCCTCAATTGGTATATTGCTAGAAAAGTGATAGAAATGTATATTGCTGTGTTTCTGAGCTCACTTGATGCTGGTATAGAAATAATACTGATTACTACTGTAGACTCAAACCTATGTTGGCCTCAAAAGTGTACCGATACTCATTTCGTGTGGTGCAGACCTCCTTTAGGGACAGTTTGAATTTTCATTGTTTTCCACAGGCTGAGCACAGTTGATTTGAAAAGTGGATCTGACAAATAAGCCAGCTGGGGCTGGCTGCAAACTTGGTCTGCATTTGCAGCAGCCCAGAAATAGGGACTGGGGCTGCTGTTGGAGCAGCCCCGCTCTGCAGGGGTGTCCCAGCTCCCCGCTGGGACCCTCATGGACGCTGGCTTGGACTCCAGTGCGAGTTGGGACTGGGCAAGCCCGGCTCAGTTCTGACTTGCACCAGGTCCAGGATTTACCCTGGCTGTGGTCCTGCAGTTGAAATGTAGTAGGAGCTGGGTGGGCAGGTAGTCCAGCTCTTACTACGTTTAAACTGAAGAGACACAGCGGGGTGGGGGAGTAACTCCCTTCTATGGACTATTTCTATCGACTACACAATTAGCTATTGATTTGCTTCATAACATCCCTAATTGCAACCCCATCAGACTACCTTAACTTACTATCTCATTTTGTTTCTCCCTCCAGAGAGACCTTAAACAATAATCATTAACATATTTCAGTACAATATATTTATTTCGAACAGTAACCAATTTACTGATTATGTATCATAAGCACAAGGGTCCAGTTTTCGTATAATTAAACCAAAACAACTACACAGAATTGATAGGTATTTGGTTTGTTACTTTGTTTTCTAAAAAAAATAGGCATGAATTAAAAACAAGAAAAAGCAAGGATGGTGTGTTTTTTCTGATGTAAAGTAAACCTGATTTTAACATCTGAATGCTATTTCCTGTATTTAGCTTTCAATTATATACAGTGAAAGCTTTATTATCTGGCATTCTGTAACAAAGGATCTTACACACAACAGGCTCCTTCACTATACAACCCTTATTCATTCCCAGAACAGCTCTGTTCTGTGCACTGAATGAGACACAGATCCCGTGGAAAAAATAGTATGTGATCCCATAATTAAAAAGCAGCAGAATGAGTTTAGGTTGCACAGTCAACCTTAATTCAGGCGATTCTTAATTTTTGAATGCTTGGTTTTGCCACTCAATTTATACTCTTTTTGAAGATAGGGTTGAAATACATATATAATTTTCCAAATTTTTTTTATTTTAAGAAAAGACAAATTCCAGTGAAAAGACCCATTTTGCAGACAGCATAGCTGAATTCTTAGATGTGGTAGATTCTATGTGAGGGAGATCAGGCCAAGTGACTGACATTTAGGCCTACTATGTGAGGGTGCGTCTACACCGCACCGTTATTTCGAGATAACTAGCATTATTTCAAAATAACAATGTGAGCAGTTACACAGCTATTCCATATTTTGAAATAACGGATGTCTTATTCTGAAATCTGTAAACCTCATTCTGAGAGGAATAATGCTTATTCTGAAATACAGTAAAACTCCGATAGTCCGGCATCCAACTGTTCGGCACTCTTGATACTCCGGCATCAAAATGCCAAGCACTCCTGACCAGCTGATTAAAAAGCCTGCCGCTTAGCACACATGCTGGCTGTAACCAGACGGAGCATAAGGGGGGAAGAGGGGTTTTAAGAGGGATAAGGGATCTTTCAGAAATGGCTTTATTTTCCGAAAGATCCACGTCTAGACTGGCGCTTTTTTCCGGCAAAGCTCCATGCCGAAAAAAAGTGGCAGCCATTTTTATGCTAATGAAGCAGGGGAGATTTAAATCCCTGCTTCATTAGCAATTGCAATACGTTTAATTTGCATCCCTTTTATGAAAAAGGGATGCAATCTAGACGTAGCCTTGCTGTAGTTACTACTATGGAGTTATGTGATTGGAAATGTGAAAGGAGGTGACTGTGCAATCACAAATAGGAGGAAATGGGGATCATTCATAAGACATTCTCTCTGTTAAGATACCATACAAAATATGAAAAACATGAGGGCTGTGTCTACACTGGCATGAATTTCCGGAACTGCTTAAAACGGAATACTATTCCGTTTTCAGTTTTTCCGGAAAAGGAGCGTCTACATTGGCAGGCTGCTTTTCCGGAAAAGCCATTTTTCCGGAAAAGCGTCTGTGGCCAATGTAGACGCGCTTTTCCGGAACAGTGTCCCGGAATAAGGACTTATGCCCAAGCGGGAGCAGAATAGTTTTTCCGGAATAGCGGCTGATTTTGTACAGTAGAGCATCATTGCTTTTCCGGAAATTCAAGGGCCAGTGTAGACAGCTCGCAGCTTATTCCAGAAAAGCGGCTGATTTTTCAGAATAAGTGGCCCAGTGTAGACACAGCCGAGGAGTACCTAGTTAAGGGAACTGTGTCTAGGCTGTGAGCCAGGAGGGGTTTTCCACTGACTAGATTTTTTGTCTGCATTTCTCAATTATTATTTAGGACCACGTTCTTCCTTGCCTTTATGTAATTGTGCAGTATGGGAGGAGGGTGCTCTGCTGCCCCCAGAAAAACCCATGCAGAATTACAGACTCTGAGCAGTACAGGGTTGCTCCCTCAATAATACTTATTACTCCAGGGAAACTAATTGTGCTTTAAAGGAGTGGGGAGGAGACAGAGCTATAGCTCTACCTCCAGCTCCCTATGTAGTTAACTCTTTATGCTGAGAAACTTTGAAAAGCTTTGTGCTTCACTGAGGGAGACTGTACAACTCTGATAGAAATGTAGCCGTGCTGTTTACCCTTTGCTAAGTGCTGGGTCTAAATTGTTCAAGTGAATCTTTAGTGAGTGATTAATGGGATTACATCTGAAGTGCTAGAAGTTTGACAGTTGTAAGGTAGCATAGAAATAGCCCTCACTGAGGAGTACTGCACAATCAGGTTCTGTAGGAAATTGGTTTTCATTTGACTGACATATGAGCATGTGGATATCACATACTAAGCCTAAGCTGGAGTATTTTGTTGAAATCAGTGTGCACCTAAAGAGTTATGCTGGGCATATGTGCATCCATAGTTGTATGTACATTAATCTCCTTTGTCCCAATGACATGTCTTGTGGAATGAAATCCAGGCACGCTCTCAAGTAGTGGGCCAATGCTCTTTGTTAGCAGAGTCCCAGCATTCTGCTTTATATTTTAATAGCTCATGCACTAGTTCAGTTCCTTAAGTGCTGAGGAAGTAAGGTTATAATTTGGCAGCCTTAAAAAGACATTTAATTAAATCCTTCTCTCAATGCTTTCTGAACTACAAAGAGTCAATAAAGACGAACTTCTGTAATTTGTTTTCTCATCATTTGCCTAAAAAAGCACTATAATTATTTCAAGTCTGCAAATCTCCATCGTGGGTTGTCATTGTCTGACTCTGTTCCTGTTTCTTTTTTCTCATGTGATGTCACTGAAGATTGCTTTCCAAAAGATTTTGAAGAAAATTCTGTGATTTGGAGTAGATTATTTTTAACAGTTTTCCTGGCTCTTCTTTGTGCATTTTTCTTTAATGAAATTGTTTGATTTCCTACCCATTGCCCCTTAACGATCAGGAATAGAAGACTGGATATATATGCTCTCTTCTCTCTGTTGTTATTATTATTATGATTATTTTTATTATTATAGCACTGAGGAGACCTAGTGATGCACCAGGATTCCATTGTGCCAGGTGCTGTACAAACATTATGCTATTAATGCACATCCAGATTTCCTCCCACAATTTTCTTTTCTTTTTTTTATCTCCGTCTTGAATGCCCATTTGACTGATTCTTCTGTCAATATATCCTGTGCTTTTCTTGCACCTCTTTAGTTATGGAATAATATCCTTGCATTCATGTGTAAGGTTTAATCCTCCAGATTCCCTCCTCCTTCAGATCCCTACTCAAGACCTAATTCTGCTATGACATCTTACAAGAAGCCATCCAAATAATGGTGTCTTTGTTGTGTGTCAGCTGTGGATAATTGATGTTACTTACTATTTTAAAACTTTCAGATGATTTGGAACCCTCAGAAGCTATCAAAATGTGCAATAGCTAATCTAGGTATTCCAGTGGTTTATTTTTCATTACAATTTTAATTTCCAGATCCCTTCCATTCTTTTTTTTTTTGTCACATTCATAGCATCTTGTTTCAGATGAGATTAGGTGCATGAGTTTACTATAAGTACAATGACTAGACCAATAAGAACTCCCTTTGTCTGACTGAAGTCCTTAAAAGCTACAGCAGGACAAAAAATGCATATCGATGCTAATTTTTGGCTCATGCATAACTGTCTGTATAACACCTCTTAATTCTTCTCTTATATAAATCCGTCAATTTGTTCTCTGTACCTTCTGGAGTTCTTATTTATGCACTTCCTTTTCCTTCTGCAGCTGCAGGGAAGTATGCTGCTTTATCTTGTATCTTCCAACTTTTTCACTGTGGCTATACTTCTTAATAGGATCACATTTCATGTATTCATGTATTGCACGGGCATATTCCTGATAACGTTGATACATGTGGAGAGAATATTTTATAGTATTACCATTTCAATATTACATAGACGTGATTAGCTTCCTCTGAGTCAATGCTGTCGCCGTTACATCTCTGAAGCCATGTTCTGACCAAACTGAAGCTCTTGTACCATGGTTTCATATCTACTTTGTTCATAGTGAATGCATTTCCCTTTTTTTTCTGTACATACAATTTTGCTTTTCAATCAAGGGCCTGTGCCTCTCCCAGTTCCTAGCTCATCCAGGGCTTAAGCTCTATAGCATAACCTCTGTCTCAGGCTGTTCCTCAGACCCCCATTGATTAATAGTAATTGTGTTTTCTTTTATAATCCAAGTCAGCAAAGTCATTTGTGCTTATTGGTGTAATATGGCATAAAGTAGGTCAATGTTTCACTTGCCAGAAAACTAATATTTTATACACCTTGTTTATTTCCTTTTTAAGGTTTCCTTCACCTTTTTATCAAATCTATGTACCTTTGTTACTATAGCTCTTATTGGGTGTTTCTCTTTAAAACCTCAATTTAGGAATGCATCATTTTTCAGGACAGCTCATGCACATGCGTTTGCTCAAGTTCCAGTTATATGTGTGCTTGCCTATATTTCTGCATAGAAATCTAAGTGCTTTCCCATATACTGGATCTATGTACTGTTGCTTATATCAAAGATGTCCTCAACAAAAATATCTATCTCATTTTCAGTTCTTGAGTTATTGCTGTGCTGAAAGCAGTTTTATTTGAGGGTGCCACTTAGTACCTTTAAGGATTAAAGGGGAAAAAATCACAGAGGTCATGAAAGATTTTCATTCTGCAGAATAATTTGTGATTGCTATTATGACTTTCTGCATGAAACAAATAGATGCCAAAATGTTATACTTAGAAATTGTTTCTGTCCCCTCCACTTTTAGATGGTTACAGCATTTTCCATTCATTTAAACTGTGATGCTACTTTAATCCTTTGCAGTCAGATCAGATATTCTTTTTATTGCTATTTAGCAATTGTGCCAGTATTAAAATTCTACAGTAATAATTGCCAATTAAAATTTCAAAATAAGTATAACTTAACCAGTAACAATGCTTTCTTAAATAACATTTTATTGAAATCAGAGCTTTTTGAGGATGCAGTAACAGTTGTTATTTGTTCTTGATTTTGGTTATGCAAATGCACTGTGTATTAGTGCATATCTGTGACAGATCATATTTATATTAACAGCTCTATTCAACCTTATACCAGTGGGACTACGAGTTGTCGCTATCCAGGGTGTAAAGACAGGGTTGTATATAGCCCTAAATGGAGAAGGCTTCCTCTACACATCAGTAAGTAGCATGCTGCAGATATTTTTAATTCTTTGATGTATCCAATACAGAAATGTGTACTGGAATGAGACATAGCTCACTTTTAATAAGTTCTATAGAAATGAATAGTGATTAAATCAGTATGTTTTAGGTTCTTTAAAAATGCTCTAGAAACCTGTAGAATTTAACAGAAAATGATATCATTGCTGTAGAATTTTCTAAAAACATTATATAGAATTCTATAGCAATGTTATATTTAGCTACTGAAATCTGTGGGATAGTTTAGTAAAGCCACAGATGGGTTATAATTTTCAGTTAAATACTCTAGAACTTTTCTGTGTGTGCAGTGCCTTCATTATTGGCATGCTGTTCAGGATGTAAAACTTGCTACAAAAGTTATCTGAATGATTAATTCAGTGAAATATAAGGTACTTTGTGTAATGTAATGTACATTCTTGTTATATATCTATATTTTTGATTGTGTATATGAAATCCTTTTTTGAATGGCTAAAATATTAGAATTTGAAACATCACTTGCAGTAATAAAAATAGTATATGATTGTAAAGGATTTTGAAAAAATATGCTTGGTAAGAATTGCATAGAATAATACATTCCTACAAAATGGCCAAAGCTAAAAAAAGTTCCTTCAGACAAAATGATGCTGTTAAGTAAAATATCTTGATATATTTCAAAACAGTTAATTTGAATAAGTCAAAGTGTGGTGGTGTTACAGCTGTGAAAAGTCTCAGTGTTATACAGGGTTAACTCAATGACAGTATCAACCAGGTGTTAGACTTTTTTTTCTTTCATTGCAGTGGATGCTGTGTTCCCATTGTATCTCATTCTCTTTAAATGTATTATATCAGACAATATTCCAGGCCACGCTGAGTTAAAATATAATGTGCTGTTTCCAGTGTGTCTTGAGAAGAAATTGGTAGATTTTCTTTCTATAACCTGAAGGAAAGTACTCTATTTGTTTTAAACGCAGGACTGTTATTGAAAAGTTAATTAGAAGGAAAAAAGTGTATTCTGTCATTGAAAAAAATAACACAATGTGCAATATCTCCCAGCAGTGAACAAAACTAGAGCACTCTTGGCTTCCCATTTGCTCAAAGTTTCACATGTATGGAATTCATGTCATGTGATTGTTTCATTATGTGGCAGCAATACAGTATGCATATCCTTTTGCCCACCAATAATGCCACAGTGTTCCCATCACTCTCTTTTGAACATTAAAGAATGTTTCCAGATGGGTTTTTTTTTCCAGAAAATGTATCATCTTAATGGCTAAGCTGCAATTATGGAGAGTGGGAAAATCTGTGTGGTTGGATTGTGTCAGCCTTTGTTTGTGTATTGTTCAAAAATAATCCAACTGAAATCACTCTGCAAGGTACTAATGAACATGAGCAAAGACGGCAGAATACAGCTCTTAGTAACTATGATTCCAATCCTGAGATCACATTGCTAATAAAAGTTGTGTATGTGTATAAGTTCCCCATTGTCTTAAATGAGTCCAGTCATATGAGTAAACTCTTGTGGACGGGTAAATGTTTGCAGGTTGAACCCATTATGTTGTGTATTAGTCAGATTCTCAGAATTTATGCTTTACATATGTATTTCTGTTGTTGTCAACATCTATTAACTGTTTTTTGTATGCTCCCATGTTTTTACCATATTGTACTGCATTGATGCTCTTCAGGGAGAATGGCTCAGTCCTTCACTTTTTCTTATGTAAGGCAGGGGAAACAATACATAATGGCTGCGTGTAGACTGGCAAGTTTTTCCGCAAAAGCAACTGTCTACTCTGGCCGCTTGATTTTGTGCAAAAGCACTGACTTTCTACTGTCTGAAATCAGTGCTTCTTGCGCAAATACTATGCTGCTCCCATTTGGGCAAAAGACCTTTTCCGGAAATGCTTTTGCGCAGTGTAGACAGCTGAAAACTGTTTTGCGCAAAAAAGCCCCGATGGCGATCAGGGCTTTCTTGCACAAAACCGCGTCTAGATTGGCATGGACGCTTTTCCGCAAAAAGCGCTTTTGCGGAAAAGCATCCGTGCCAATCTAGAAGCTATTTTCCGCAAATGCTTTTAACGGAAAAACTTTTCTGTTAAAAGCATTTGAGGAAAATCATGCCAATCTAGACGTAGCCAATGTCTTGGGAAAATATTCTATGCTCTTTTTTCATGTAAATATGGAATCTAAGGGAAAACATAATTTTCAAATATAAATGAAAATAATACAGAATGCAGTAGAAGAGTCTTTGGCTAAGTCTACACTGGCCCCTTTTCCGAAAGGGGCATGCTAATTTTAAACTTCGTAATAGGGAAATCCGCGGGGGATTTAAATATCCCCCGCGGGATTTAAATAAAGATGTCCGCCGCTTTTTTCCGCTTCAAAGTAGGAATAAGAGATCCTCCGGAATAGGGCTTTATTCCGGAGGATCGGGCCAGTCTAGACGCTCTTTTCCGGCTTTTCTACAAGCCGGAAAAAAGCGGCGGACATCTTTATTTAAATCCCGCGGGGGATATTTAAATCCCCTGCGGATTTCCCTATTACGAAGTTTAAAATTAGCATGCCCCTTTCGGAAAAGGGGCCAGTGTAGACGTAGCCTTTAGGTTTATTTAACATGTGGCAAAAACTATCTGAAAATTACTATTTTTCATTTTATAGAGATGAGAACATAAGAGCTTCCATACTGGGTTAGACCATGGGCCACCTTACTCAGTATATTGTTTCCAAGAATGCTTTGTACCAGAACTTTAGGGAGAGTATATGTTTCAGTGTATTTATGGACCAGTCTGTCACTTCCTCTACTCCCTACTTCTAGTAATCAGAGGTTTAGGGGCCTCCATGAGTATGGGGTCTTGATCCCTGATCATCTTGGCTAATAGCCATCGATGGGCTTATCATCTTTGAACTTTTCTAGTTCTTTTTTTTAACCCAGGTATGCTTTTGATGATTGCAACATCCCATGGCAATGAGCTCCACAGATTAGTTTGTGTAATCTGAAGTAAGATCAACAGACATTTGGTAATCTGAAGTAAGATTTCAGAATGTAAATTAATATATGTATATATATATAATTGGAAAAACTCATGCCCATGCCAGAGTTCATGTAAGTATTTTCTGGGGGGGATAAGAATTATTACTGTGCTTTCATGAATATGAATTGGATATTTTAAGAGTAGAGACTAATAAATTTGAAAATTAAAAAAAAATGCATGGAAGAAAACATCTGCTTCACAAAAAAGAGCTTAACCTCATCTCAGTGGATAGGGTATTTATATGTGCGTAGCCTCTTGGATCAAGATGTATCCAGAAACTATGGAATATTGCCCTCTGGGGAAAAGCATTGTTATAATAGTGAAGTAAACAATCTCTATCACAATCTTTATGTGAGTTTTCCATTCTTTTGGCAATATTTTTTCATCTACTGATCTCAAAATACAGAAGTTATATTTTATAGCAGAAATGGCCAAGTACATGAAGTTATGGTTGTGTCTGCAGTTCTTATTTCAGCTTTAAAATATTGGCTAAAACTGAATATGAAAGTGTTGGACCAACAGCTATATTTTAAAACAATGAGATGGAAATACATTCATTTGAAATGACATAATATATAGAAAACAAGCAAATATGAAGTGGCCCAAATTACAGACTATGGTGATGGTGCTCTACATTGCCTAGATGGAATGCTTAGTTTGATTTTCTTGGGGAATGTTGTGATACTATTTTGCATTGCCTCTCATCAGAAGAGATGATGAGATGATGAGAGATGATGAGCATTTATACTTAGTCCTTCTCAACGAACAGAATTATTAACCTTCCATGAGGCCTGAGAATGAGGACACTAAAGCAGGTTTGAAATTACTTTTTTTAAACAACAGAAACAAAAAAAACACAGCATTTTTTAGTTTCACCACTGCACGGATATGTATTTATTCAATTAAATAATAGACCTGAGATCTGAACCCTCTCCAGCAGGTCAGATATACTATTATTGGCATACTTGTACAAATCCAACTCCTAATCCACATCTACTGAAATTTGTCAAGTCAAAAGGGGGACATTTTTTTAGAGCTTTGGAAGATTCTTTAGGGGAAAGTGTTTATTTGACTCCACCAATTTATTTGCTCCAGGAGTGCAATATAGACGGCTGGAACAAAGTATTGTTTGTAGTTGGGGGAGGAGAAGACTTACTTCAAAAATTTAAAAAAAAATTCTAAAATGTCTTGCAGGACTATATATATACTAGCCAATTAGCCCGTCATAAGACGGGATTTTCAGGTCTCTCCTCCACTTCAATCTTCTCTCCTGAGTCTTTCGCTCCGTCTCTCGCTCCTCCTACTGCCTCCCCCATCTCAGCTCTCCTCCACCTTCTGCCTCTCTCTCCATCTCTCTCTTTCTCTTCTCCCCCTCCTGCCTCTCACTCCCTCTCCGCTCTCCTCTGTCTCCATCGGGGATGCACGTTTGTCCAGGCCCCACCCCCTGGGCGTATACGTCACCACCCTGCCACCCTTCGCCTCCCACCATGGTGCTTGGCTGACTTCTGTGCCGCTCAGCTGGGCCACTGCGGGGGAGCAAGCGGCTGTTTGGGCCCCACCCTCCCCATGCAGCATGGGCCGCCCAGAGGGAACAGCCAGCATTTCAGGCAACAGCGCCCCCCAGAAGGAACAGCCAGCACTTCGGCATTACAGACTCTCAGACACCGGGCTACTATATATATGATTCCTTAACATATTTACCACTCCACACTTTGCATTTCTAATGTTTTTTTTTTGATTTGTGGCACAAATCTACTGCTGTTGGAATGTAGTATCTGGTTTTAGTGGCAATTCCCTGATTGTAGACACAGGTTAGTGATCTAGAAAAATTATATTGACACAAATAACCAGAAATAGAGATATTACTTTTCATAGATTCACAGAATGTTGGGATCTTAATCTGAATTCTTCACTCTCATGTAATGCAGTTCTTGCAGGAAAAACAGTATTTTTCCACACAAGAACATCCAACTCAAA